ATATGTTATATATTTAAATTTTGTGATAGATAATAAGTAATTAATTTATAATTGTGTCAAATGAATTGAATTGAATTTTATTTAATTTAATAAGATAGTCAAATTGGAGATGGGATAGTTTGTAGTGTTGAACCTTAACTTTTATGTTGAAAAGTGGTTGAATTAGTTGAGGAGGGCATGACAAATATAAAGAAAAAAAATTTGAAAGAAAAAAATAAATAAATATGTGAGTAAAATATAAATAAAGATAAATAAAAGAAATTAAGATTTATAAACTGCATATCCTCTTACCATATAAATAAAAGAGAAAAACTACCATATAAGAAAGCAAGAAGAAAAGAGAGAATTATAAAGAAGAAGAGGAGAGGAAGGAAAAAAAATGGAGTAAATGAATGAGGAGGTGAGATGGTATTTATAGAGATCAGCGAGGATTTTCTAACTGGTGTATACTATTTGTAGCGGTTTTATATATTTTCTAGCAGTTTTGTCAGTTTCTAGTGGTTCTGTAACAGTTACAAATTGCAATTTTTTATTTTTAAAAAACTGAATCAAATTTAAGGGTAACGATGAGAATTTTCGAGTGGTTCATAACTGCTAGAAATGTTGAGGTGGGAGGGAAATGTGAATTTCAAAGTAAGAGGGTAACGGTAAGAATTTTCTAGCGATTATTAAAACATAACATAATAAAATCCAAAGTATTAAAAGTCAATATAAGGGAAGGGCGTAAATAAGGGGTGAGGAGCAAAAGCACATCATCCTTATCGTCATTTTGTGAATCCTCTTGCTGGTTCTATTGGGGTTGGGCTGGTTGCTAGTCATCCACTACTAGTGCCAGGCATATATCAAGGAACTCGAGAAACGGGATGTTTGGAGCAAAAATGATCATTATATCATGCATGGCCATGGCGGCTACTTTGAAGTGGTCAAGCTGTAACTGCAAATGACAATCACGCTCCTCCATCTTAGCATCTACCTCTAGCCTGATCTCCTCTCGCAGCTCGTATGAGGATGAGGAACTGGGCCGCTTCACTCATGCGCTCGCCTGATGGGATACTGCTGCTAACTAAGAGGTTCTTAGAGTGTTTGAAGGGCCAGCGCCACCTGAGCTGGGTAGCCCACCCGGTGTGGGTCCAAGACTGAGCCCGCTAACTAGGCTGGGGTACTGCGCTTGGCCATGACTACTAAAAGTGAGGTAGTAGGATCCAAGGCAAACCCTTGAAACTCCCGCAACTCCGTATCGACCTAAGTCATCCGCGTCTATCAAAATTAATATAAAAATATTAGTATCGAATATTTATATTATGATATTAATATTTAATTAATTAATTACTTACCGTCATCTCCTTAACCTCATCCGATGTAGGAGACCCGTCTCAAGGCCTATACAGATGAGGCCACATCTCGCCATAGGTAAGCATGTATCCTCGCTCTTGCCCCATCTTTTCCTTCTATAAGTCAAATGAAAAAAAATTATTATTTGCAAATTAAATACATATACGCAACATATAAATTCTTTTTATGTACTTACAATCTAATCATAGGTGATAACAAAGCTCCTCAATCTAGCCCTATGGTGCATAGTCTGATGCCTGACACCTTTAGTATTTTTCTGGGAAAGAGCCTCAAACAAAATGTATAAAAATTAAATTGGTCAAATTGGACCAAAAAAATTAAAAAAATTTATAATTAATGCAATAATATCATACCCTCTACTCAGCCGACATCTTAAAATACACAAAACTTGACCAGTCTTGCTCCGAGACTCCAGTAGGTATATCTGCCAGTATCTCCTGCAAAGGCCTCATCCCGTCACCTTTCTTCTCTTGCCATAGGTTAGCCCTCTTGCTCTCCCACGCTACTCCAAGTCTCTTGATGGTATCCTCCCTCAACTCCTCTCCCAGTATAAATTTACTCTGTAATTAAATAAATAAAAAATTATGTTCATTTAAGTAATTTAAAAAAATTATAAATAAAAAATTAATTAAATAAATAAAAAATTATAATCAAACAATTAAGTAATTTAAATAAAAATATATATTACCTTTATCACTTCACAAACATTCTGCTTCTTCTCTGTCGTGATTTTCTTCCAATCCTTTACATAAATAGGAAACAAAGTCCACTGCTGACCAAGAAGGCACAGATACTTATTATATAGCTGGCTACCTTTCTTAGTCAACTAGCCCAAATCATTCAGTGGCGCAACCACCCATCCACTTGTCATCATGGACAAATCTCTAATTGTCACCCTCCTATTAGACCTGTTCCCCTCAAAGACTACAAAATTTAATTAGAAAATTAATTATATATTAATTAAATTAAAACAATTTTTGATAAATCAAATAGTCATCAAATTAAAAATATTAAATAAATACTCACCCACAAACTCCACTTCAAAACCGACCTAGTACCTTGAAGCACGATGCTGCTCATTATGGGGATTCTCATTACCCTAAACCTCCTCCTCCTTCGAGCCATCATCATGATGGGGTTGTTCATTCCCCGAGGAATTAGCCTCCTCAGTAGGCTGGACATCATTGTTTGTCATGAAGCTCAAGATGTCCTCCTCATTTAGATCGTAGTCATAAATGCTTGGGAATGACTTAACAGCATCATCACCTCCAGTACCATGATCCTCGTTGGGTCTATCAGGATCGACCAACTCCTTCCCTAGTCGACGAGTCATCCTAATAATAGCACATAGCAATTATAATGAAAAATATATTTTACAACTAACAATTATTAAAAATAAAAAATTGTATCTATTAACTCTAAATAAATACTTCAAATAGATAATATCAAATAATAATAATTGAAAAAAATATTTATATATTTAAATTTGCTATCAACTCATTAAAAATAAACAATTACTTCAATTAACTCTAAACAAACAAGTCTATTATTAAAAATTATTTTTATTAACTCTAACTAAACCAATTTATTAAACTCAATGTAAAAAATATAACTCTAAATAAATACTTCAAATAAATATAATCAAATAATAATAATAATTGAATAATAAATATTTGTACATTTAAATCTCATGTCAACTCATTAAAAATAAACAATTACTTCAATTAACTCTAAACAAATCAGTCTATTATAAAAAATTATTTCTATTAACTCTAACTAAACCAGTCTATTAAACTCAATATAAAAAATAGAACTCTAAATAAATACTTCAAATAAATATATTCAAATAATAATAATTGAATAACAAATATTTGTACATTCAAATCTCATATCAACTCATTAAAAATAAACGATTGCTTCAATTAACTCTAAACAAACTAGTCTATTATAAAAAATTATTTTTATTGACTCTAACTAAACCATTCTATTAAACTCAATATAAAAAATATAACACATAATTCAAACTGTGGAGAACTATCTAAGACATATACTAAATAAATCAAATAAAAAATAAAAACAAAAATAATTTATACATAAATTTCTATTTTACCTAAAAATGTGAAATACTCTCTGGATCTGGATTTGCTTTGTGGAGAAAGTTTGCTAGAGCTTTGCTTCACAATTAGCCAAAAGCGTGCAAATGAGGAGAGGGGGGTATATATAGGTGGCACTTTCTAGCGGTTCTATGAAAACCACTAGAAATTTTGATAAAATTTCTAGTGGTTTCTAGCGGTTCTATGAAAACCACTAGAAATTTTGATAAAATTTCTAGTGGTTTCAATGACAACCGCTAGAAACTTTGATGAAATTTCTAGCGGTTCTATGAAAACCGCTAGAAATTTATAGCATTGCCCCCCACCGCTACCTGCATGCAGCCACATGTTAGGACTCCTTGGGAAAAATAAATTATTTCTAGCGGTTTCAAGGATAACCGCTAGAAACTTTGATGAAATTTTTAGCAGTTACTGAACTATTAGAAAATGCAATCTAGCGGTTCCAGCAACAAAACTGCTAGAAATTAAATACTGGAAGTATGGTACCAACTTTGCGCCACTATGGCGGTCATTTTCTAGCAGTTGGGTCAAAACCGCTAGAACTTTGTGGGGTCCACAACCTTTCTGGTCAAAACGCTGCAAATTTCTTGCAGTTTGTGTTATAACCACCAGAAATGTTTATTTTTGTAGTAGTTTTTTTTAACCGCTGGTAATTCACTATTTTTTTGTAGTGTGTAATGTGTGTGTGTGTGTGTGTATTTATGTATGTATTTATGTGTTTTGCTCTGTGTGTGTTTTTATATTAGGTCATATAAAATTTTCATATTCTCCTCTACCTCAATCAATATATAATTATGGATAAAATTAGAGATATAATTGGAAAATATTCAGGAATTGTAATAGCTTAAATTTATTTATGTATATTTATGTAATATTATGATCATGGTTTTATAAGACATTAACTCTCATTTTATAATTAATATGAGGATTCAAATCCTTTTTTTAATGCTATCTCAAGATATACTATCTTGAAATATGAATATAAATATAAACATAATATGGGATGAGATGTAGGGAAAGAAAAGGAGAAAAAGATGAGTAAAGGATCCAAAGTCTTTCCTAATTCTACTATAATATATAATTTAATGTGAATTTATATTTAAAAATTTAAAATAATAAAAACTGAAGAGAGAATGTACAAGTTTTTCAATAAAATTTTTTTAAAAATTATCTAATTAACTAAAAGAAAAATAAATTTTCAAATAAGGAAACTATTAATTTTTATATATTAATTTCTAACGTAATATTTATATGTTAAATTATCAATTAATATAATCAGTAAATATAAATATAATATAAATAAAAATGAATTAAATTAATAGTATTATACTAATTAATTATCTCCATATTTTGATCTTTCCAAAAAGACTATTATAAATATTATACTCATTATAAATTAATATTATATTTTATAATTTAATATATATTGAAATGAATATAAATGATTAAATGTATATATCTTGATATTTATATATCAATATTATATGTATGTACAATACATGGACTAAAATATTTTTATATATCATAATTAATATATATAGATATATGTGTTTGTCATGTTTAATACACGCATATATATATATATATATAATTTTGTGTCAAAAAATTGCAGGCTCACTCTAGCTCACTTGGTAAAGAGAATCCAAGGTTCGAATCTCGGGGGAAGCACTTGTGAGGAGAAAATATTGGTAGGTGATGTGGTGTAATGAGGCATTGACGCATGGCAAGTGTAGTGGCAGTGACATGGCAACATGCAGTAGGCTAGGTGATGAAGTGACGGTGGCCAAAAGTGATGACATGGCAATGGTTGGCTGGGCAGTGATGACATAACATAACCATATAATTTTTTTTTTTATAGTGATGGTTTTTAGCGGTGACCAAAAAATCGTCACTGAAAGTACTTTCTGTAGCAACTTTCTATCACCGCTGAAAATACATTCTATTGCAATATTTATGTTGCCACTGAAAGTACCCTTTAGTGGCTACTAAAGGTATATTTTCAATGGCAACTGAACTTTCAGCGATGATAATTTTTATTTTTTATCGTCATTGAAAGTCAATTTCTTTTGTAATGATGGGTGATCCTTCTTGCTAATTTGAAATGATTTAATCCTTGGAATATTGAATTTTCGGAAGTGTAGAATCACAGAATGAATTTGAGAGATCCATCTTCATTGCTGGTTTTGTGGCAGAAGGCAAAGACACAATCACCATCTTGCTTAAGTTGCAAAAGTTCATCCGTTACTTCAGGTTTCACCATAGGGAGGAGCATTTAGTTAGTTAATCATGATATTTGCCATTTAGTAGGTCGTCTCAGTCGCAGATTAGTCTTAGTAGATGGTTTTCTATTCTTATCTTTGCATGCGAACTTTGCTCCTTGAATCTCTTCCCAACTATTATTATGTTGTTAGCATAAAAAAAAAGAAGGATAAATACAAGAGATTTGAATCAAAGAGGAAGGAGACGGGTTGAATCAGAGGATGAATCTGGGAGATTGGGAGGGTGAGAGAGTGTGCGTGTGTTTTTTTCCTGTGAGTTGGGTTACTTTGGTTCTTTCGCAACAAATGTTGTGGGCTTCATAAGAAACGGTAGTTATATTTGCAACCATTTTAAATTTTTACGGTTACTTTTGCATTTTAGTGGGTGCACTTTTGATAAAAATTAATGGTTATTTTTGTACCTTAATTTTTTTTGATACACCTGATAAAATTGACCGGCTTCATTTCTCCTGTCCTCTCCCATATGTTGTATAAGGTAGTTATTGACTTGGTTAGCCCAACTATACACAGTGAAAGAGCTGCTCTATTATGAAGCTGCTTTATTTATTTTATTGTCTTTGCTAAGGCATAGAAATCCTTTTATTGGAGGGCAATCCTTTTCGAGACACTATTAGGCACTAAATGTAGGCACCTCTCTTAACTGGGATTCAAACCTTGGTTCGCTGTGTTGTAAGGGACTAGCCCCTCCTGCTAGATCCAATCCCGTTGATATGAACCTCCTTTATTTTTTTCTATATGTGTAAGAGTTGGGCCCATCTGTGTATTAAAAAGAAAAAAGGAGTTGGGCTAATCTGGATTATGCGCTCAAATCTTCCTAGGAGACATTTGCCCATTGGTATTTACAGCATGAAGGCCAAGTTTTCTTTGCTCAAGCTACGCATGATCATCACATTCATCAATAGTATGTGAAAACGTTATGCTTTTGTTAAACAACTTCTCTAAAGCAGACTTTTCAGGATTTTCTCACTTATTTTTTTAATCTTTATTTACGTTTTCATATAACTGTTATTATGTAGACTTTTATTTCTTTTAATTAATATATTTCATCTTTTTATCAGAAAAGAACAAATATCTACTGTTCAAAGTCAATCCCTTGCACTGTCATCCACGAGAAAACGTAAGTGGGAACAAAAGCTAAAATTTCATTCAAAACACCAATAAACAATGAAGACAGAAATTTGTAAATCGAATCCAGCTAGCCGCCCGGCTCACATCGGTATTATAAAAATACTCCTAACCACCTTATCGAAACAAGATCATAGGTTAAGTTCATTTAATTTAAAAATTAAATTAAATTTCTAAAATGTTGAAATGTGAAGAAGCTTCCCATACAAGTTGAAACATGTCCACTGATCCATTGAGTAAAAGGACTGATAACACCGCGGAGAGAATGCTGTAGAATTAACTCGATAGGTCCCCTGGGTTCTGATTTAGGCTTCTAGTTTGCTGTTTAGTTTTTCCCCCCTTCATTTATTTTGTTTCTTGCCGTGTTTTGTGTTTCGACATGCTACCTCTGATCCTTAATAAAAAGCTGGTTGACTAATTTGAGCAGATTAAGAAAGTTTATTAACTTAGTTATGTGTCATAAATAGGAATTATTTTTTCTAAAATATCCTCGCTAATTATGTGTATTAGTTAGCTACAAGTACTATTTGATGAAATTTTTAATATGTAAAACTACTGCAAGGACTATCTTGAACAAAATAGATAAATATGAGAGACAGAATATATTAGTGTTTTATATTTAAGACCAAATTAAAAGTTAAACTAACTTTTATATTAAATATTGGAGGTGGTATAAAAGAAAAAGGAGATAACAACAACGTAATTAATAGTAAAACTTAGAAAAGTATTATTATGATGACATCGACTAGGGACAACATAGGAAAAATTGTGACATTGTACAAGGCCAGCGCTCGTGCTCTCCACACCAATAATTAATTAAGACGAGAATAAGATGTAGAGGGAGAGAAACATGCGTGGTGATATGATATCTCTGACAACGAAACTGAAAAATTTAATTAAGTGAACATAACATCAATAATTATTGATAGTTTTGTAAATAAAATTACACCCATTTTACTCCGATTTAAAAATAAAATCATGAATTGAATCTTTTGGGAAAGTTGGTGAACTATTCTTACTCAAAAAATATAAAACAAGAGGGGATGGTGGTTCAGTCTATGAGACCCAAATATTTATTTAAGGGAGAATCTCATTTAGCCCCCGCTGCAAAAGATTTATTTCCAATTGCCCCTTACAAATTTGAAATTTCACTTGAATTAATTTCCAGAGTAAAATGACATTAACAACCCTGCAGGGCGAGAAAGAAGAAAGAGTATTATTTGAAAAAGAGAGTGCCGAGAGTAAGAATAAGTTTGCGATTTCAAAATTTTAAGTCACTCCAAAATCGAGATCTGGTGCCTCGCCGTTGACGCTGTTCTCCAAAATTTAAGAAATGACATTATCCTCCCCTAATAAATCAAATTGGTCTTTGATTTTTGCTAGTAATTATAGTCTCTACGATGGCATTTTGAATATACTCTGTTTTGCAATTTCTAATTTTTATGAATATTGTGGCTACATGTCTCTAGTATTAGTAAGTGAACTTAAGGAAATTAACAGGTACACTTATTGCTCGTGTAACAAGTTGACGTTAGGACATTTATGACAACAAATAGAGCATTTAGAAGGTGATGGTAACAATTTCATGTTCACTCATGTAACAAGAGAAGTTAGGAAATTTACAAAATTAGTGTATTTACAAATTTATTGTAGCAATTTCATGGTTGCTCATGTAACAAGCGAAGTAGGAAATTTATAACAATGGTTAGTGCATTTACAAGTTGATCATAACAATTTCACCTTGTCATGTAACAAGTAAAGCTAGGAAATTTAAAACAACTATTAGTGTATTTACAAATTTGAGGTTTATATAACAAGTTTCATGCTATGCATTATCACTACCAATAAAAGGTCTATTTTTGCCTGTTTACAGTGAGACATTAATGAAGGAGATACAAATAGTAATTATTTATTTATATATTTTTAACGGAGGAAAATAGTGACCCTTTTTTGTCTAGTCACTAGGAACAGACGAACATAGGGCATCTATTTTTGTCTGTTTTAGGCAAAATAGATAAAAATATGGCACTATTTTCATCTGTTCCAGCCACAATAGATGAAAATGGATAGTGCCCTATTTTTATCTGTTTTGGCTGGAATCAACTAAATTTTATTTTTTAAAATGAAGCGTGAAGTACTTGTATTTGTCAGTTTTAACGTGTTGTTTATTATACTTAACAATATTATCATTATTGTGTGAAGGTTTATGAAGATGGTCAAGAAGAGTACAAAAGTAACCGGATGGAAAACATTCATTGCTAAATTTAGAGAACGTAACAAGGGGGAGATGCATGGGATGAGGGGGGATACAAGAGCTGCTACAAAACAGTGGGACAAAATGGCTGCCACAAAGAAGGAGGCATATGGAATAAGGAAGGTGGAGTCGAGGGTAGACAACAATAAGAAGAAACAAGTGATGCCATTTTCAACCTGATACTTTCCAAGTAAATTCAAGGAAATTGCCAACTTTATCAATGGGAAAAGAAGACTAAGGCATAGGGTGAAAAAATAGGATTTGGGGAGCTACTCAATATTGGGTTGAAGAAGATCCTCAGGAGTTATCCATGAAGGTTATGCATTCATATGATCCCCCCATGAAGCAAATGAGCATAAGAGGAAACAGAAATAAGAATATGGGCTGGCCAGGCCCTAAGGCCAACAGGCTTAAAAAGGTTAGCCCTACAGGGCCGAAATTTAAAAAATATCCCAAATTGCGAGGTTGACCTTTAAGCTGATAGTCTCAGGGCCGGCCTATGGGCCCAGCTCGTTTAATTGGGTAGATGAAAATATTAATATGTTACTAGTATCAGATTCAACTTTTACTATCTAAACCAAAACCAATAGCAAATCATCAACCAGATGTATATTATCTAAACTAATCACAATATATACAAAAATCTATTGTCCAACCTAAGTAAACTAGCTATGAACGTAGCTATACAGAAAGAGATTAATATTCCTCACATCTTGAATATAGGATCTAATTGTTGAGTTGATTCTGATCCTAAATATAAGACCTTTTTTTTCATATTTATCAAGTTTTTTCCTGAATTATCCTCATTAAAGAAGATGACTATAGTGTTTTAGGAAAAACATGTCATATTTTTTTATGATTAACTAGCTTACCTACTTTCTTAATCTAATCAAATTAATTAAATATGTCTTACATTAAGGACTAGAGGAATTTTTTTTTTAACCATATCTCCAGAAATATAAAAACCGTCTCTACTAGTATTTATATCTTCCTTTGTATAAGGTCCTGGGTTTTCAAATATCTGGAAATTTAAATTAATGAACTCATTAAATAAATAAAAATTAGAATCAAAATAATCAACAATTAACCATGGTAAAATTAAACTAATAACATCTTTAGGACCAATATCTAATTACTTGATCTCATTTCTTAGCAGAATCGGTTTGAAAAATTTCGTAGATGTGGTAAATAACATAAAAACAGTGCTTATATCAAGTTATTTACAAGTATTATGTCAAGTACAGGTGCTCATGGGACGGGATGAGACGGTTTTTTCTGTCTTGTGTCTTGTCCTATCCCATCTTTTTAAATTTTTTTGATATTTTTTACTTTTTTAATTTGAAAACTAATTATGCATGAATAATTTATCATAGAAACTATGCGAAGAAAATAGATATAAATGAGAAAATAAGGACAAAGAAAAAATATTTTTTGTAATTTTGATGAACAAAAATAAACAACTTAAAATGTTCGCTACAAAGAATACCATGTAACCCATACAGAATAACTTATAAACAAATAAAAAAATAACAATTGATAAATATTATAACCAAAATACTATTACAATGATAAATAAAATAAATTTATAACAATTAAAAATAAGATAATATATTGGGGTAGGACGGACGAGATACCCTCATCCCACGTCCCATCCCATTCTAAAACAATTTTGTTCCATTTCGCTTTCATCCTATCTTGAAAACTTTTGGGACAGGACTATCTTGTCCAAAATGAGTGGGACAGTATCGGGATGGAATACAGTTGAACACCCCTAATGTCAAAGTTTTCAATCACTCAGTTATGTTTTGGAAAAATATATGGCAATATAATGTAGATTCCTTGTTCAAAGTTCAACAATTGCTACATTATTTGTCAACAATTGACACTTCATATTCTATTTTATAATTGTTGAAAAATGAATGTTTACACTGCCCAGATCTCAAAAGAAAATCTACAAACTGTAGAATGTTTAATTTTTATTTCATTTTTATATGTATAATGATTACTTTTAGTTTTATTATTTTACAACAAATGTAATTTTGGAATTAATTAAAATGCATCATGGTATATCAACCCATCTATATATCAATAGAAAATCAACCTATGTAGTATTTAGCACGCGCAATCAATAATGAAGCTCATGTTTTGTACTGGCCAATATATTAATGTGAAAAAGTTACATGGTAAATTGAGAATCAATTTACGAACAACTACTATTTATTTATTTGAGTACAGCACATTGATCTCCCTTCACTTCTGGGGAAAAAAATTCTCTTCTTTTAGTTTTTTAATTAAAATTACAAAGGTCTTTTCTTTACTTTCAACTAAACCCAATTTTAGCTTAATTTTTAACCTTTACTATTATTTCGTCAGAGATTTTAAAATAATTTTTTTTTGGTTATTTTGAGTTTAATACTACTTGTGTTTGCTCAATCAGTCCCTAAGAAATTTTTGGGGGGGGGGGTAAAAATTTTTTTTTTTTAAAAAATTTCATTGGCATACAACTAACTAATAGTCTCCATTCTCTCGTTTTTTTTCCCCAGACAATGAAATCCATTCTGATCAATAATATTATTGCGGGCCCCCATCATCCCTTTGATAATCAACCTCTCTTTTTAATTGCCTAGTAAATCAATAGCTGTTAAGCGGATACAGAAATTTCAGCGATATGAGATTGATGCGACTCACAACCGCCTTCCTGTTTTCTCTAATCAAGTTGTCTTCTTATTTCCATCAGTATTCACTTTCCACTTCACTTTCTACACCGGCAAATGTCATATACCCAGCAAAGAAATATTCTACGCCGGTTGTAGTGTATGGTCGATCGGGTTGTAGTGTATAGTCCATCGGGATAGAAAGTGAAGAAAATATTTTTATTTAGCACCTTTAATTCTGGTTAAAGTCCAATTTTGTTGTGAAAGTTTCTGCGCCGTGAATGTTAAAAAAAGGGTAATATTAATGATTAAGATTAGTTTTTTAGTCGTTAGGATGATTTTCCTCCTATTTACCGCTTATGAAGCGATATAAAAAAAATTTGGGTACCCACACCACATCTCCTGCATCAAAACTTTGAAGAATTATAATAAGGTCCCAAAAAAAGATAATTACTAGCATATCCTAATAACAATAGAGTAAATGTTGTTTATTACCCTGAAACTTGTTATTATAAACTGCTCTGTTGCCACTAAGACTTTTTGATAATTATTTTTCTTACTTGAAACTTCATAGTAATTCTCCCTAAACTATATTTGGCCATTTGGTCATTTTACTTTATACAATGTTTTAATTTGGCCCCTTAACTTTTAAAATACACTTTTCATCCTTTAACCCTAAAATCGTTAGGCTAAAACAATCATAGTTACTTTGAAAATTGAACCTAATATGTTAGCATTTGAAATATTTTATCAATATTTAAGATCTCAATGTCATCATTTTTTGTTAACAATTTTAGGATATTAAAAGACTAAAATATACTTTTTTTAAGTTAACAGACCAAGTTGAAACTTGTATAAAGTTAAATAACCAAATGTATACTTTAAACCAATATATTTTTAGCCCTTATTTTAACACCGTTAGTCTCATTTAATTTACTGAAAGAAATATTGACTCAACAAATTTAAAAGGTAACTTTGCAATTAAACACTAACAAATCATCCTTTAAAATTTTCAATTCTTCGTTGGCCACAAAAATCAATTCTTCAATATAATTATTTATTTTGTAATGCTTAAAAAAGTACATACAATCCTCATCCTGTGTCCCATATTTCAGCCCCAGTTTAGGCCTGTCTTGAAGATGTCCCGATCCCGCCCAAACAAGAGATGGATCGGGATTGCCTATATATGCATCTTATAACTTCAGGTGACAAAAAGAGATGAATTAATCAATCAATCAATACGTACAGTAAAGGTAAATATTTAGCTGTGTTTAAACAAGAACAGCCTCAAGCCTACATAGCCACACATATATAGTTCCTATCGCACATCATATGACCATAGCACAAGAAGAAATGTTATTATCCTTTTAAATATATAATTAACAACAAAATAAAGCTTCCCACTCTAAATGGCTTATTCTCAAGACGAAGTAAATTAAAGAAGCAAATTTGCATAAAACGGAATGAACTGAATATTGAATAATGACGAGGACATCAATAATCCTTCTCTTTCCCTGAAAATTCCAAAACCATATGGAAAAAGCGAGGAGGTTTCTAACTTGGACAAGTATGATTCACTTGATGGGTCCCAATGTGAAGGTGTGAAGAAGTTTCGCATCCAAGTCGAAGCTTTCCCATTGTGTTCATTCAAAGAATTTCAAAGTTGAATTCCATTTTGTTTAGCTCTTGAATGAAACAACCACCTAATTAATAAGACTTAAAAAGCATTATATTGGCGTCAATAACGACGGAATATATAGGAATTGTGACATTATAAAAAGCCAGCACTCGCATGTGCTCTCTACACAAATAGATCAATATTCTAAAGATGAGAGCCCTAGGGAGTAAGATGTTTGCCAAGTGGTTAGTTGTGCTTTTCATTGCTGTTCAGTTTCTGATGATCCCAACGTCGTCTCTCGCCGATGCGGCGGAGCATCAGGGATCCTCGTACCGGCCGCCTTCCAGATCTCATATTCTCATCAAATCACGGTCTCTGGCAGATGGGGATCCTATCGTCGGACCTGGAAACACAGAGCATCACCCTCCGTATAAAATACCACCATACAAACCACCAATTTACGGACCACCACCGAAAGGCAAGCCACCAAGCCCGCGCTAGAGAATGGGCCCCAGTAGTCAAAACTGACTCTCTCTCTCTCTCTCTCTCTACACCACACACACACACACACACACACACACACACATCTAAAGCTTCCGTGCCTATGTAAAGAATAAGAGTACTCTTTGCTCGTGTAATACTCCCTCCGTATAAAATTATTATTGTTTTAGACTACTGTTTCAGAAATTCAATGCTGCATTATGGATTTTTTTAATAATTATAAATACGTCTCCCTCTTATCAGGTGTTCTTTCATCTATAATTTTTCTGTTAATCTCATCTCTCTCTCTCTCTCTCTCTCCTCTCTCTCTCTCTATTAAGCCACACATTGAGCTTGCTGGACCTTATTAATTAAAACAAAGATATAGGGGGAGAGAAACGGATGCTTGGTGATATAATATACGTACATTGAAAATGAAAATTATGTGAGGAGAACATATAACATCAATAATTATTAATCGTTTTGTAAATAAATTACCCGATTTTACTCTGATTCAAAATAAATCACGATTAAATCTTCTGAGAAACCTTGCGAACTATTATCTTATTTGGAAGACACAAGATAATTATGCGATTTTTTAATGGAAAAGGGATGCATCAAATCGACCTGAAAAAGTTATGGAATTAGCATGAAGATGACATGGTGTTTGATAGGGAAGTAACAAAACAACGAAACCAGAACACCGGGAACTACAGTACCAAATTTTTGTTTTTAAAAACAGAAACAAAACACTTTGTTTGGTAATTTTTTTAGTTAGTTGTTTTAAAAACACAAAAAATATTAATATATTTTTAAAAAATAAAATCAAAACAATTTTTAGATGTTTTCTTGTTTTTTATTTTATATTTTTATACTTTCTGTTTTGGAAAATTAGAAAAACCTTCTCTCCGACCGCTCACACCATGCAATGTCACTGGTGACAGCCAAATGTGATTTTCTAAAATAATTATATAAACATATTTTTTTTTCAAAACTTGTTTCAAAAACAATTTGTAAAATTATTTTCAGAACAAGAAATAAAAAAAAGAAACAAAAAGCCAAATTACAGACATTTTAAGGGACATGAGATAAAAACCATGTGCCACCAAGGAGTCTTTGGCCAGCCTATCAGCTTCATAGGGTGCGTTTAGATTACCGGTAATAAAAGTAACTTTTTCAATATGACTTTTGCAAATTTAAGTTGGAATAAAAGTTAGTTTATGTAATGTAATTTATCTTTGGATTGACTTTGGTAATTTAACAAACTAAAGCATGTTTGGGATCATTAATGAAGAAACAAGTTTAGATTAAAATGATTGAAAAAGACATGAACCTTATTAAATAATACATATTTATACTATAGGTATATATGTGATAATTCTAACAATAATATTGAAACTATAATTATAAAATAGAAATAATTAATGTATGATAGAGAAAATTTGAAATTACTAAATATTTAAATTTTATGAAAAATTGGAAAAATTTATTGGTAAGAAAGATTTAAACCAAAGTACAGGATACTAGTGCTTTGTGCGTACAAAATTTACGGAGGACCAGTATCCTATGTGTATAAAAATTTATCATATCCTTCTCATCAATTAAATTTCTTATAGAATATTTTTTTCATAATTTTTCCTAGAGTTTATTATTCAATTTTTTTCTTTGAATATAAAACCTAATTAGAGAGCTGGTAATAGTCTTTTATATATAAGATCTATTTTATATGTTTATTAATTATTTTTTCACATTAATATTTTTTTTAACAATAATCAAATAGGAAATGGAGGGAGACAATTAAAGAAGATACTTAGAGTGTTTTAGAAAAATATATCATATGAACTAATTTAACTAACATATTTAATCTGCTCAAATTAGTTAATTAAGTCTTATATTGAGGATTGGAGGAGTATTTAGAGGCAAAATCCATCTCATATAGGAGAATATGTTGTCAATATCAACTGCGATAGTTGTCAATATAGGTACTTATTAATGATAACTATACTGTACAAGTTTACATTAATTGGTTATATTTTGACACAAAGACCATGACTTTCGATGCCCTTGACTCAAGAAGAGATTATGAAAAAAGATGAGCAGCCACATGAGGTAAAGAAAAAAAAAATGACCAAAAAAAAAGCCATTTCAAATCCAAATATATTATAGCAAAGGAAATTTTTAAAAAATATAAGTGATAGGAATTTTTTATAATGCCACAGCACACACTAGAGCCGATAATACGCAGGCTCAACCCGCCAATCTGTCAAGAAATGGCAGGTTGGGTTGATAAAAATCAGGCTCATTTTAAAACGGATCTTTTGAGCCTGTAACTACCAAGATCGAACCTGCGACGGGCTAACCCGTAGGGTTTGGCGGGCCGACCCACTTTATTTTTTTATTTAAAATTTTTTTTTCTCCCTCAAATATAATTATGTTTACTTCTTTGGTCTTTTATCTCATTCTTATTATTTAAAATTACCATAATATAATATATCTTTTGCTTTGCATTATGAATTTTACTTGTATATGGCAAAGTTAGTTGAGCAAAAAGAAGGTGATTCTACTTATGAAACTTAACCAAATAATTTCACATCTTCATATCATTCTTTGAATTATATCAACATTAAATGGTAGCTCATGGTTGAACACTTGATAGTGATTTGTAACATTGTGTTTGTATTATTATTAATTTAGATTTATTATGTTTTAATTTGGGATGTATGTTTAATCATTTAGGATGATGTATGATGTATGCTTATAGTAGTATTTTGGAATGTTTGGAACTTTGGGTTTCATATTTTATTTATGATAATTTCTATATGCATATTTTATTTTAGCTATTTAAGAATTAGAATAAATTTATTAAAAGCAAACAAAAGAACAAAAAAAAAAGTGGCGGGTTGGCAGGTCTAATTTGCCAACCCATCTTGGCTGGCTGGGTTGGAAAAATATCAGCTTGTCAAAAGTCGGTCTTTTTAGAACTGACTCGTCTGTCCTTGAACCCAGCACAGGCCAACTCATAAGTACGGGTTAGCCCATATTATCGGCTCTAGCACACACCTAAGTTTTTTTCTCCCTCAATAATGTACTCAAATTAAGTAGCCCTTACTTTAAAAGCAGTAGAGCGATATATATTTAAGAAAACACGAGTTCCTAGTGAATCCTTCTGCTTCAAGGATGCAACGTGCAAGATGATGGGTAGATGTCACGCCTAAAATCCTCGTCATCCTGTAAAAAGGAAAGAAAGAGGAGTTGCCACTCAAATTTTGAAAAGTTAATTGACAAACTCAATTATTTTTATATATTTTGATATCTTTTATATGGGTTTTGTCAACTTAATTAGTCCTTTTGGCCTTATTGATTATTAATTGATTTAATATGTTTTATTTTGAATTATTATTTTATAGGGGCAAAATTGTCATATTTTGGTTTAATTGTGACTAATTGATTTTTTAGACAATTAATGTTACTTTATTCTTGAATTTTTGGTTGCAGGTTTTTGGTAGATTTAAAAATTTAAAAAAAGAGAAAAAATATAAATAAAATTAAAAAATATAAAATAATAGTAAAAAAGGTCGGAGCAAAACGCAGCGTTTTGGCTCCAACCCTAAATCTGCAGAATCATCATCATCTTCGATCCAGTAGATAGGAGAAAAGGAGGGACCAGCGAGCTGACGGACGAACAAGAAAACAGTGAGAGTAGCATGAGCAGAGCACGGCGAGAGAAAGAGCGAACAGAGTTGACGGTGAGCAGGGAGAGAGGACCAGGCGAGCAACACCGAGAGCAGAACGAAGGCGAAGAAGGGCCAGAGGCGACGGCGTGAAGAAGACCATAGCAGAGTAACTTCCTTTGATTCTTCACATTCCATCGACGCAACCCACCATCACCATCTTCATCGTCTTCTCCATGAAATCTTGTAGCAGAGTTCTGAATATAGCAGTTTTGATGGCAAATCGTGGCTAAGACTCTATAATCTTCTAATTCAACAATAGTGGAAGGAGCTCATCAAAGTAGAGTTTTAGTTACTTTAATTTCCTGTCCAATAGTTGTTTAACAATTTCTAGGTCTTACGATAGTTATTCTGATTATTAGAAAATTTGTATTGTTTAAGTTGATTATATTTGGAGGCTATTGTAGCTGGATTACTATTTAACATTTAACATTAGGCTGTTTATAGCTTTAATTTCAATTATAATATTGTGATTATGACATATGTATTGACTTTGGAGTTAATATATTGTGATTTTCTGAGGTAGCTTGGAATCTTGGATCATATTATCTCTTGCTAGCTTTAATTCTATTAAGAGTTCTAATTAAACATTAGTTTTTTAGCATCCTTAATCCCATTTTACTATTCTGGTTGTAGTTAGTAAGTTGGGATTTTAGAAAAACATTTTTTGCAATTCAAAATGACTCAATTGTTGAATTAAAAGCTTAATTATAATTCTTAATTCATTGTTTTAACTCTTGTATCTTTTGGAATGAGGATTGCTTGCATTGTTGAATTGGAGGATTGATTATTATCATTGTTATTTGTGTGTTTCATTTTCATTTCTTTCATCTTCATTCATTTTAATCACTTTTTATATAAAAATAAAAAGTATTTTAATTTCAATTTATTTCACGGTATTTAATTAGTAATTATCAAATCAAAAATTCTTTTTATAATTTAGGTTACTTGCATTTATTTATTAGGATTTAATTTTATTTTCAACTCCTGAAAGTGAATACGACCCGGATTGTGCACTATGTTAGTGGCAATCTCACCCAAGAGGGGGTGAATTGGGTGAGTTATAAAAATTTGCGAAATTAAAACTAAATACAATCGAAAACAGAGAGAGTAAGTTTAGAAGAATTTCACTGCAAAGAGAAGA